TCAAGAGATCGAGACCATCCTGGTCAACATGGTGAAATCCCGTCTCCACTAAAAATACAAAAAATTAGCTGGGCATGGTGGCGTGTGCCTGTAATCCCAGCTACTCAGGAGGCTGAGGTAGGAGAATTGCCTGAACCCAGGAGGCGGAGGTTGCAGTGAGCCAGTAATCTTTAGCAATGGAGCCTAACTAAAAAGAAATGTTTGAAATGTTATGTAAGAATTCAAAATACTGATTTTAAAGAAGCTGACTGGAATATACGATAAATCTGAACAAATAATACAAAGAAAATCAGTTTGGGATATAAATGAGAAATTTCAAGTGGTTTTATTGCAGTTTTTTAATGATCAGTGATGTTAGTCATTTTTTCACATTTTTTGGCCAAATTTATGTCTTTTAAATTTTATTTTACATTAAAGTTCTGGGATACGCATGCAGAAAGGATGGCTTGCTGCACCTATCAACTCGTCATTTAGGGTATAAGCCCCACATACATTAACTATTTTTTTAACAGTCAATCTAGACATTTTTATTGTTATAGTAAAAAATATTAAGACATTTGAAAAACTCAGAAAGTCTAACAAACACACTTATACTCAGTACTTTTCTTATTCTTTGATAGTCAGTGCTACATGTTGAAGACGTTACACTAAAACCAACCCAACACACTGCAAAAAGTTTTATCTCCAGGGTTTGATAAACATGCATCCTAATTAAGAGGAAATATACTCTTGTATAAGAGAATGTAAGTTATTTTTATTATTTGCCTCTCCCCTCACCCCCACAAGCCCTGACAGGCCCCGGTGTGTGTTGTTCCCCTCCCTTTATCCAAGTCTCGATGTGTCCTCATTGTTCAGCTCCCACTTATGAGTGAGAACATGTGGTGTTTGGTTTTGTGTTCCTGTGCTAGTTTGCTGAGGATGATAGCTTCCACCTTCATCCATGTCACTGCAAAGGACAGCATCTCATTCTGATTTATGGCTGCATATATACCACATTTTGTATTATCCAGTCTGTTATTGATGGGCGTTCGGGTTGATTTCATGTCTTTGCTATTGAAAACAGTGCTGCAATAAATACAACAGATGATGGTGATGTTGCAGAGAAAAGGAACACTTTTACACTGTTAGTAGAAGTGTAAATTAGTTCAACCATTGTGGAGGAAAGTGTAACAATTCCTCAAAGATCTAGAATCAGAAATACCATTGGGCCCAGCAATCTCATTACTGGGTATATATCCAAAGGAATATAAATCATTCAGTTATAAAGATATATGGATATGTAGGTTCAGCAGCATTATTTACAATAGCAAAGACATGGAATCAATCTAAACATTCGTCAGTAATATACTGTATAAGGAAAATATGGTACATACACACCATGGAATATTGTCAGCTATAAAAAGGAATGAGAACATGTCCTTTGCAGGGACATGGATGGAGTTGGAAGCCATTGTCCTCAGCAAACTAACACAGGAACAGGAAAAGAAACACTGCGTGTTCTCACTTATAAGTGATAGTTGAATGATGAGAACACATGGAGAGTTGGGTAGGGGGACAACACACACTGGGTCCTGTTAGACAGGGCTTGTGGGGGCAGGGAGAGCATCAGGAAGAATAGCTAATTGATGCTGGGCTTAATACCTAGGTGAGGAGATGTTCTGTGCAGCAAACCCACATGCCACACATTTACCCATGTATCAAACCCGCACATCCTGCACATGTACCCCTGAACATAAAAGTTGAAGAAAAAAATGACAAAAAGAAAATATATTGTATATAAAAATTATATATAAACAATGGGATACTCTTTAGCAGTAAAAAAATCATGCCATTTGCAGCAACAGAGATGGAATTGGAAGCCATTAACTTAAGTGAAACAACTCAGAAACATAAAGTTCAAAATCAAATGTTCTACCTGTAAATGGGAGCGAAAAAATGTGTACACATGGACATAAAGGGCGCACTGATAGATGCTGGATACTCAGAAGGGTGGGAGGGAAGAAGAAAGTTGAGGGATGAGAAATTACATAATGGGCACGATGTATATTATTTGGATGATGGCTGCTCTGAAAGCCTACACTTCACTACTATGCAGTCTAAGTGTTGTACAAAACTGCACTTGTACACCTTATATTTATACAAATGAAAAATGGGATATTGTTTTTCACCTCTAATAAAAATGAAAAAGAATGAAAACAAAGCAACACAAAGGAAATGTGTAGAAGAAATAAAGAAAAATAACGAGAGATTTGGTTTACCTATATATAGGGTGGGAATAAGCTATTTTAATAAAAAACATTGTCAACATTAATATTCACTTAAAATGAATGTATTAGTGTTTAGCATTGCATATTAAAGGGAAGAGCCTATATGAATTGTGAATACCAAGGCAAATGAAATTTGCGGTGTCAGTGTTACAAAGTAGCAGGAGTGGCTCATTCATTGTGTAGTTAGAAAACTTCCGTAAAGGTAATAGAATACTAAGGGTGTATTTCAGTTGTGTTTGGATATTGGCAGCATTGTTGGAGTACCTTTCCAAGGTGAGAAGTTCCAAACTTCAGATTATTAGTTCTGAGGGACGGTAGCCAGTTAAGTCAAGCAAAGAATTCCTGAGTATACTCCCAACACTTTCATGTATATCTCTTTGTTTAATGTTTCTTTGTGTCTCTATTCTTCTCAACCAAATACTGAATGAAGCTGAGGTTTCTATTTTCTTCATATATTTGCCCATTGCCAGATATGGAGTAGATACTAAAATAAATTTCTGTTGAGTCATCAATACATTTTTATTATAGACTGGGAAGCCTGTGGAAGGGCACATACCCATGTAGGGAACTGTTTTATTCTTTTGAATATATAGCTTGAGTGGATCTGTCATTGTAAGAATTTATCTGTATTTTTGAATGAAAGGGAAAGAGAGCTCTGAATTTTGGAAGTGGAAGACTGCTAGCCTATTTATTGGTGCTTACATTAAAACTGACATTTATTTTAAGAGTTTGAAAATTGTTTTAACGGGTATCAGAATATTATTTTAACCATAAAAGAAAGACTCTGGTGTGATTATCCAGGAAAGATATCCAGACTCTAAAGCAATCATATTCACTTAAAGTTTACTGATAACTTACATGGTCAAGATGCTTGTGGAGAGATGTGGAAATAAAAATGATATGATCCAAGCCTTCAAAGTTCTCACAGAGGAGTGGCAGGAATATACATGTAAGCGAATCCTCATGAAAATATGGAGTAAGTTTAATAATATATGACCCAAAAGCAGTAGACACATATCTATATGCTAGAATAGTTAGAGTCACTTACCTTTGAATTATAATTTTATTGCATCATAAACATAAATTTTTGTGTATACCTTTAACTAGTAAGGGCAATCAGGTGAACAATTTCAAGGCATCTTCCAGTGATGCACTGTCCACATGTATTATGCTTACATTAAGACTCATAAAATTTTTACTGATTAAACTTATTATATAAATGTGTAATGGATTGTTATATAAAATATTTGAAAACAAACTTATTTTTATAATACATTTTTGGATATGCTGTTAGAAATTCTAGAGTTATTTAAATAACTGCTTACTATTGTAAACCCTTTTATGTAATTTAACATTCTGCATTTTCCTGTGGTAATTCATTTCAAATTTTACCATTTAGTTATTATCAGGTTACCTTGGATACCATAGCATTAATTGAAAAGTGTGCCATTTTAGTATTTCATTTTACTGAAGGTTTTTTTTTCTCTTCATTTGTACTACAGTTTGAAATAGAACACAATGAGTTATAAATTATTTGCAAAAGAACCCTAGGATTTCCTGGCCTTTAGAAATTGTAATAGTTGCCTCAAATCTATAATCAGAGGAGTTAAATCATAGTCCTTTCTCTTTGTGGTTAGACCATAAATACTTTTCATTTTGTTGAATAATTTATGACCTGCTTTCATTTTTTGATGTTGATTTTTCTCTATGAGAAATTTAGAGATGTTTTAGTATAGTTTTAAATTTCTAGATGGAATTCTGTTAATGGTTTTCTGGAAATTTAAAAAAGCTGAACTACTTAATTATGAGGCACTTGGCTACTTTCTTATCTGAAATTTCACTAGCTGCCATAAACATTAATGAAACTTAATTTTATATATGAAGGAAAGCGGCTTGTAGTATGTCATACTTAAAATGTTTGTGTTTTCCCCCAAAAGAGCTCATATTCTAGTATAAGATATTTTAAAAGTTGTTTGACAGATGTATCTGTGTGTGTGTGTCCATGTGTGTGTTTTATGATGAGGAATTATCAGGCTAACCATTTAATACTACATTTTTTTAAAAGTAGGGACCATCTTGGACAAAAACTGTGTATAACTTCTCATCCTAAATGATTTTTAATATTTGCTTCTTAGTCATTTAGTGAAGAAAAGAAGAAACATATAAATAATCCTTTAATTAGCTCTATTAATGACAGTAGCAGTAACTAGCTTTATTTTGGAAAGTGAAATATTGAGGCTTTACAAATTAAAAAAAATTGTTTAGGTCATTTAAGAAGCATCTATAATAGCATGACTCCCAATATTTTTCAAATAGACTTAAAAATCCAAGGTTTTATTATATTACCACTAAGTATGATTCATCAGCAGTACCTGGGAGTTTGTGAGAAGTATAGAATGTCAGGTCAGATCCCAGATCTACTGGATTATTCTATACATTTGAATAATATTTCCAGGTATTAAGCATGCGCATTAATGTTTGAGAAGCATTGATTTATTTGATAGTATTATATAACATACCATCCGTTAAAGAGAAAATAAATCTGTAAGGGCCAGCCTCTTATGTATTACCTATACATACTTGTTTTTTATATTATTTATTTAGACTTGTTTTACATTGAAACAATAATTTTTTAAAGTCCTGGAAAATAAACTGAATATATTTATAGGTAGATAATTTAGAGTCTGTCTATAATTTGAACATTTAGGTCACCTTGATACTGACATCCCTATCTTATTTTATTAATAAAAGTATACAGTGTGATGTTTTAATACACACATATAGACCGAAATGATTACTACAGTTAAGTAGCATATTTATCTCAAAGTAGTTTTTTGTGATAAGAGCACTTAATATCTACTTTCTTAGCAAATTTGATGTGTACAATAAAATATTATCTGTAGTACCCAAACTAAACATTAGATCATTGGAATTTATCCTACATAATTGAAACATGATATTCTTTGCCCAACATCTCCCTATTTGCACCAACCTTCTACCTCTGATGATCACCATTCTAATCTCTGCTTTAGATTCCACTTACAAATGAGATTGTGCTTATTTTTTGTGTGTGTCTGGCTTCACTTAGTGTAATGTCTTCTGGGTTCATCCATATTATTGCAAATGGGATTTTCTTATTTTTAAGGTTTATATAATTTCATATGTACATGAATAATATATGTATCACATTTTCTTTATGCATTCATTGACAAACATAGGTTGCTTTGATAATTTGGCTATTGTGAATAATGCTGCAACAAACTTTGGAGTGCAGGTATCACTTTGACATACTGATTTCATTTCCCTTGGCTAGATACCCAGAAATGGAATTGGTGGATCATATGGTAGTTCTGTTACTAATTTTTTAAGGAAGCATTCCATACTGTTTTCCATAATGGTTATATTAATAAATCTTTCCATCAACAGTGCACAACGGTTCTGTTTTTTTATCATGTATGATATCTTATGATAGTTTGATTTGCATTATCCTGATTATTGGTGGTGTTGAGCACCTTTTTTTCTAGTTATTATTCATTTTTGTCAAAAACACACAACAAAATTTACAATACAATATTATTAAATATTCATTTCAGTCCTGCTAATTACATTGACACTGTTATGCTACATATTGCTAGAATGTTTTTTTTATATATTTTATTGTACTTTAGGTTCTTGGGTGCATGTGCAGATCATGCAGGATTGTTGTACAGGTACATACATGACAATGTGGTTTGCTGCCTCCATCCCCGGTCACCTATATCTGGCATTTCTCCCCGTGTTATCCCTCTCCAACTTCCCTATCCACTGCTGTCCCTCCCTTATTCCCCCAAAACAGACCCCAGTGTGTGATGCTCCCATCTCTCTGTCCATGTGTTCATTGTTCAATACCCGCCTATGAGTGAGAGCATGCAGTGTTTGATTTTCTGTTCTTGTGTCAGTTTGCTGAGAATGATGTTTCCAGATTCATCCATGTTCCTACAAGGGACATAAACTCATCCTTTTTTATGGCTGCATAGTATTCCATGGTGTATATGTGCCACATTTTCATTGTCCAGTCTATCATCGATGGGCATTTGGGTTGGTTCCAGGTCTTTGCTATTGTAAACAGGAGAGCCTTTTCATAAACATATTGGCTATCTGTGTGTCTTCTTTGGATAAGTCTATAGCCTGTATTTAAATTGAGTTCTTGTTTATTGTTATTATTATTTGCTATTGAGTTGTATGGGTTTCTTACATATTTTGAAGGTTAACTCCTTATCAGATACATGGTTTGCAAATATTTTTCCACTCTGTAGGTAGCCTTTAAATTTTGCTGATTGCTTTATTCATTGTGCAGAAGCTTTTAAATTTGGTATAACTCCATGTATTTATTTTTGCTTTTGTCACCTGTGCTTTTGGTGTCATACCCAAAAAATTATTGCCGAGATCAATGCCAAGGAGTTTGTTCCCTATGTTTTCTTTTAGGCATTTTACATTTTGGGTCTTACATTTAAATCTTTAATAACTTTTCAGTTGATTTTTGTGTATGGTGTAAGATAAGGGTCCAATTTCATTATTTTATGGTGAATGTTTAGTTTTTCCATACCATTTATTGAAGAAACTATCCTTTCCCCACTGTGTTCTTGGCATCTTCTTGAAAATTATTGGACTGTACATGCATGGGTTTATTTTGGGATTTCTTTCCTGTTCCATTGGTCTATGTGTCAATTTTCACATCAATACCATAGTGTTTTGTGTATTATGTCTTTGTGACATAATTGGAAATCAGGAAGTGTGATGCCTACAGCTTTGTACTTCTTGCTAAAGATTGATTTGACTATTTAGGTCTTTTGTGGTTTTACATACATTTTAGTACTTTTTTTTTTTCCTATTTTTGTGAAACATGCCATTGGCATTTTGATAATGATTGTATTGAATCTGTAGATTGCCTGGTGTATTAGTCATTTTTCACACTGCTATGAAGAAATACCAGAAACTAGGTAATTTATAAATAAAAGAGGTTTAATTGACTCCAGGCTTAACAGGAAGTCAAACTGGGAGGTTTCCGGAAACTTACAATCATGGTGAAAGGCGAAGGGGAATCAAGGACCTTCTTCATGTGGTAGCAGGATACAGAGTGTGTGAAGGTGGTGAACTGCTGTACACTTTTCAACCCTCAGATCTCATGAGAACTCATTATTATGAGAACAGCTTGGGGGACCACCCCATAGTCCAATCACTTCCCACAAGGTCCCTTCCTTAACACATAGGAGAATTACAATTCAAGAAGACAATTCTTCCAGAATTACAATTCTAGAAGAGATTTGGTTGGGGACACAGCCTAACAATATCATTCTGACCCTGGCCCCTCCTAAATCTCACATTTTAAAACACAGTCATGCCTTCCTAACAGTCCCCCATAATCTTAACTCATTTCAGCATTAACCCTAAAGTCTAAGTCCAAAGTCTCATCTGAAATAAGCCAATGCCTTCCACCTATGAGCAGGCCCCATGCAAGTTCCAAACCCGACAGGACACTCATTAAATCTTAAAGATCCAACATAATCCCCTTTGGCTCCATTTCTCACATCCAGGGAATGCTGATGCAAGAATTGGGCTCTGAAGGCCTTGGATGGTCCTCCCTTGTGGCTCTGTAGGGTATAGCCCTATGGCAGCTTTCATGGGCTGATACTGAGTAACTGCAGCTTTTCCAGGGACATGGTGCAAGCTGTGGGTGGATCTGTTATTCTGGGGTCTAGAGGATGGTGGTCCTCTTTCTGCAGCTCCAGTTAGCAGTGCCCCAGTAAATACTTTTTGTGGAGACTCCAACTCCACATTTCCCTTCTACACTGTCCTAGCAGAGATTCTCCATGAGGGCTCTGCCCCTGCAGCAAATTTTTGTCTGGACATCCAGTTGTTTTCATACATCTATGAAATCTAGTTGGAGCTCCAAAAGCTCAACTTTTATATTCTAGGTACCTGGAGGTCCAACACCACATGGATGCTGCCAAGGTTTGGGGCCTGCTCCCTTTGCCACAACTGTATGAGCTGTACCTTGGCCCCTTTTAGCCATGGCTGGAGTGGAGTGGCTGGAATACAAAGATGCACAGAGTAGTGGGGTCTTGGGCCCGGCCCACAAAACCATTATTCATTCCCTCCTAGGCCTCTCAGCCTGTGATGAGAGGGGCTGCCTCTAAGATCTCTGACATGCCATGAAGACATTTTCCCCATTGTCTTGGTGATTAAATTTGGCTTTTTATTACTTATGCAAATTTCTGTAGCCAGCTTAAATTTCTCCCTGGGTAATGGGTTTTTCATTTCTACCACATGGTCAGGCTGCAAATTTTCCAAAATATTATTATCTGCTTCCTTTTTAAACGTAAGTTCCAATTTGAGGCCATCTCTTTGTGAATGCATATAACTGTAGGCTTTCAGAAAAAGCCACATAAAATCTCAACTGCTTTGCTGCTTAGAAATTTCTTCTGCCAGAATACCCCAAATCATTTCTCTCAAATTCAAAGTTCCACAGATCTCTTGGGCAGGGGCAAAATGCTGCCTGTTTCTTTGCTACAGCAAAACAAGAATGGCCTTTGTTCCAGTTCCCAGGAAGTTCCTCATCTTCATCTGAGACGACCTCAGCCTGGTCTTCATGGTCTGAATTGCTATCATTTTGGTAAAAACCATTCAACAAATCTCTTTAACTTCAACAAAGAGGAAGTTCCAAACTTTCTCATGTCTTCCTCTTTTTCACTGAGCCCTTCAACCTATTCCAACCTCTGCTTGTTTCCCAGTTCCAAAGTGACATCCACATTTGCAGGTATCTTTATAGTAGTGCCCCAATTCTCTTGGTACTAATTTCTGGATTAGTCCATTTTCACACTGTTAAAAAGAACTACTTGAGACTGGGTAATTTATAAAGAAAATAGGTTTAATTGACTCTCAGTTATGCATGGCTGGCAAGTCCTCAGGAGACTTACAATAATGGTGGAAGGTGAAGAAAAAGCAGAGCATGTTTTACATGGTGGCAAGAGAGAAAGAGTTAGGGAAATTTGCCATATGCTTTTAAATCATTATATCTTGTAGAATACATTCAGTATTGTGAGAAAAGCATGGGGGGAACTGCCCCCATGATCCATTCACCTCCCACCAGGTCCCTCCCTTGACGTGGGAATTGCAATTTAAGATGAGATTTAGATGGGGAAAGAGAGCCAAACCATATCACCTGGGTATTTTGGATATTTTAATAGTATTAATTCTGGCATTGGTATCTCTTGTCATTTTTCTCAAGAATTCATCATATTGTTTTGGATCCTTTATGTGCAATAAATAAGAATTACATTTTAAATATTTTGCAGTGAAACTTTGGATAGTATTAAAATTCTTTGGAGGATGTATGTGTGTGAGAGAGTGTGTGGGTAAGTGGGGCATGTTGTGTTTTGTTAGATAATCCACTTGGTTAGATTTAGTATATAAATTCTGTGTAGTCTGCTTTGGCCAGTGGTTCCGATATAAATTTAGTTTTCAAAGGCTTTGTTGTTTCGTTTGGGTCTACCCTGGAACTCAGGGTTTAGTGTGAGACTTGCATATTGGTTTATATTTTAGATTATTTAGAAGATTTTAATGCTAATTTGCATCTGTTCTGCATATACAGTATGAGGGTGAGCCCAGAACTTGAGCCAGTTCACAGACATAAGTAGGGAATACTGTTCTCCAGTTCTTCCTCCTCCCCAGGAGTTTCTCACTCAGCATTTTAATTTCCTGCACTTACCTGTAGTTTTGTATCACTTTGAACTTCAGGAAAAAATAGCAAGAAAAAAGTAGGAGGAACTCCCCCCTGCCCCCTACCCCTTTGGAATATAGGGCCTCTTGGTTCCTCTGGCCAAAAAGGATCTTGAATTTTCCTGTTGTTGCTGTTCAGAATTTTAGGTGTTTATGTTGCTCCAACAGCAGTGCAGCTTTGTGAGTAGGTAAGGCTTCCAACAGAGCTGGGAGAAAGAAGAATATAAGACAACAAAAACACATGGTGGATTATCTCTACCCTTTATTTCCCAAAGAAGAATTTGTTTCAGAATGTTTATAATTTGTACCTGCTATGCAGTTTTGTACCCCATGCAGCCCTTTAAAAGATAAAGTATAGAGAGAAATAAACGAAAACCAAAACCAAATACTGTAACCTCACCTCCATACTGGTTGTTCTTTAAGTTTTGACTGACTTTTCAGTTCCTTTGCTATTGTTGACTTTTCAGAGCTCTCATGTAGTTGCTTTCCATATATTGCCTAGAAATCTTAGTTGTAATCATGGGAAGAGAGAAGATTCACTGCGCTTACTTCATCTTGACAGAAACCAGAAGTCTGTGGGCATATTTAAAATTTTAAAATAATGTCCTTAATACATATAAGGGAATATATATTTTCTACTTCTGAAACTTTGTTGGTAGTTATTCCAGTGTTTTTAAACAACAATTCCAAGTTTTTCGTTGCGATGTCAGTTGTAAGACTTTTTATTATTCTTTAAAAGAAAAAATGTGTCTTTTTTACCTGGTGTTTTTGAGATTTTCTCATTGGCTGGGTGTGGTGGCTCATGCCTATAATCCCTGTATATTGGGAGGCCAATGCAGGTGAATCACTTGAGGTTAGGAGTTTGAGACCAGCTTGGCCAACTTGGAGAAACACCATCTCTACTGAAAAAAAAAAAGTACATATATAATTGGCTGGGTGTGGTGGCACTTGCCTGTAAAACTTGCTCCTTGGGAGGCTGAGGCAGGAGAATCACTTGAACCTGAGAGGCAGAGGTTGCAGTGAGCTGAGATTGCAACACTGTACTCTAGCCTGGGTAATAGAGTGAGATTCTGTCTCAGAAAGAAAAAAAAATTTTCTCATTGTACCTTTTCTGCAGCAGTTCCATTGTTATATACTGTATTTTTCTTTACTATTAAGCTGTTTGGATTACACAGTATATCTCACAGCTGTTCCCCTTTCATTTTTACGAAATTCTCACAAATTACCTCTCCAAATACGGCTTCTGGTGTGTACTTTCTCTATTTCCTCTGTTTGTTTTGTCTGTATATCAGTTTCATATATGTTATACATATTTGCATTATCCTTTATGACTTTCAAGCTCTTTCTTTTTTTTTTTTAATCTGCTCTTGGAGTTTCAGAATGGACTTTTTCCAGGGACCTATCTTTCAGATTACCAATCCTCTCTTTAACAGTGTCTCATTTGCTGGGAAACTCATCAACTGAGTTCTCATTTTTAGCTTTTATATTTTTATGTTTAATAATTTTGACATAATTTTAAGAATTATAGTTCTTTGGTAAAATTTTGCATGCTTTTGTTGGAATATATTTATTATAGTTTTTTAAATGTCTAATATCTAATAATTCTAAAAACTAAAAAACTTTTTGGACCCTTCTATTTTCTTTTTTCAATTTTATTAAATAAAATTGATAAAAGTGTTTTATGGTAATTTTCAGTTAAATACAAGCCATGTGTCTAAAAATTGTAGATGATCAAGATAATGCTATTCTTCCTATAGATTATTTCCTTTAGGATTTTGATAGCTAAGAAATGGATCACCATACTATATCTAGAATTGAATTATTTCAATCTTAAGTTTCTGTGTTTGTGGCTTCTGTTATTGGTATATTTTTGATTCATAAATACTATAGGGTGTTTTTCTTAGTAATTTCCTTTCTTTTTTTTTGGTGAGTGGGGATGGAGTTTTACTCTACCACCCAGGCTGGAGTATAGTGGCATGATCTCAGCTCACTGCAATCCCTGACCCCTGGGCTCAAGCAATTCTCCTGCATCAGCCTCCTGAGAAGCTGGAATTATAGGTGTCCACGGCTGCACCCAGTTAATTTCTGTATTATTAGAGATGCGGTTTCACCCTGTTGGCCAGGCTGGTCTTGAACTGCTGACCTCAAGTGATCCACCTGCCTTGGCCTCCCAAAGTGCTAGGATTATAGACGTGAGCCACGACATCTGGTCTTCCTTAGTAATTTCTACCTGAAAGCTGGAGTATTTACTTATGTTATCTCACCTCATTAGGCTCTGACTGCCAATACTTTTCCTTTCCAACCTGTAGCACTGCTTACAGCTCTGCTTATTTTTCAGCTTCTCCATTTCTGCTCTTGGTGTCAGAAGAAAAATAATTGGAATGTTATTCTTTTAGTGAGTTTACCTTTTATTTTTAACTGAATTCTTCAGGTGCTGACTGCCATCATAGTCTCCTAATGTCTTCAAAGAAATAATTTTATATTTTACCTACTACTCTTTTTCTTTGTGTGAGAATTGGTCTACCATGAATTAGTCTGTCTCTTCCAGATATGGAAATTTTACACAGAATTTTTTTCTCATAGTTCTGTTCTTATGTGTTGCTCTATAATAAATACATTGGTGTGAACATATATATAATGGCAGATGTATGTCTGTGGATATATATGTATATGTGTCATTGACATATTTTATGTTCTGATGCCAAAATTGGTTATCTTATATTTAACTTTTTATGTATACTTTACATTCCACAAATCTCAATGAATCACTGTCAAAACACTTATCTTTTTAGTAGTTCTCCCTTAGCAGTCTCACAATCACATTTTTCCACATGAGCTTGACAGTAGGCTTAAAGACATATAGGCTTTAGGACACAATGGAGAAACTAATGCTCCAGAACTGTTCACATGACAGATACTATTCATTAAAAGTACTTTGATTTTCCCTAGTGAAAATATCCAATATTTTTCACTTCAGATGATTCTATAAGTGTTACATTTCTTGATTTTTTTCTTAGACCTCTTCTTTGCTTATCGCTTTCTGGTGATTGAAGTATAATAAATATGGACTTGCCTTTATAACCTTCCATAGTTCTTTCTTGACCAAAATATTTTCGGCATAAAAAATGTGTTGGGGCATCCATTCTGCACCTTTTCAATTTTGACCTTGCTGGCCCTGCACCATACTGCAGTTACCAAACATTCTGGCATTGTGTTTTATTTGTAATTTAATCAATCACAAACTCCATGTGACACCCAAGTCAGGCATGAGTTGTGCCAGGAGAATGCCACATACCTGGACACCATTGCATTTAGTCAGATGTTCTTTAAGAGCGAGGCGGGTGGATCACGAGGTCAACAGATCGAGACCATCTTGGTCAACATGGTGAAACCCCGTCTCTACTAAAATTACAAAAAAATTAGCTGGGCACAGTGGTGCGTGCCTGTAATCCCAGCTGCTTGGGAGGCTGAGGCAGGAGAATTGCCTGAACCCAGGAGGCGGAGATTGCGGTGAGCCAAGATCGCGCCATTGCACTCCAGCCTGGGTAACAAGAGCGAAACTCCGTCTCAAAAAAAAAGAAAAAAGAAAAAAAAAAAAAGAGTTTAATTCAGTTGTTTTCCCCTAAATATTTTGATGTTAGGAGATACGGGGAGTAAAGAGTCATAACTGTGGTACAGAATAAAGCAACGTTGTATTATTAGTTCTGTTACTGTTTAAACAAATTCTACGAACTTTTTGTTTCCATTAGATAAAACTGAATTGGAGAAATGAACATAATAGTAGTGTAATGTTTGAGCATGATGCATCATATATTGGAAAAAGTGCATTAGGTATTTTGAAAGCATGTCAAATTAAAAAAAGTAACAACTTGTTTAAATATAGAGTAACGTTTTTCCAAATGCATATCCTTTATGGGTATTTTCGCCAATGGTTAATTTTATGTCTCCTGCTCATGCTGTGTCACTGTCAATTGGAATCAGTATATAAATTTAGTGGAAATTTGTGCTTGTGTTTACAGAATACATCTGTAATTGAAGTTTATGTTGTTAGAGAAATGCAACTTTTCTCACTGTTGAGAATTATACCTAATGGATCTATATGCTACAATTGTTTTGAGGGTCACTTTAGAGAAAATATGTTTTGTGACATTTATTGCAGCAATAAAAAATTTCAAAGTGATGCACAAATTTTGTATCAACTAGACTGGTTTAAGGATTGAAGAATCACAAGAAAGAGGAATGGCAGGCTTTAGTAGAAGAAGGGTATTCTAGGAAAGTAGTGGAGAAAATTCTGGAGGACAGATTTATGTTACCGATAATTGATACTCTGGCAAGACCCATCTTTCAGTTTGATCTATGCACGAAGGGGAGAGAGGAACTGTAAGCAGATGATGAAAGAATGGTTGGGCTGGGCGTGGTGGCTCACTCCTGTAATCCCAGCACTTTGGGAGGCTGAGGCGGGTGAATCATGAGGTCAAGAGATTGAGACCATCTGGTCAACATGATGAAACCCCCATCTCTACTAAAAATACAAAAAATTGGCTGGGCATGGTGGAGTGTGCCTGTAATCCCAGCTACTCAGGAGGCTGAGGCAGAATTGCCTGAACCTAGGAAGTGGAAGTGGCGGTGAGCCGAGATCGCGCCATTGCACTCCAGCTTGGGTAATGAGCGAAACTCCGTCTCAAAAAAAAAAAAAAAAAAAAAGAATGGTTGGTATGTATAATCCCTATGAAAATTGTAAGTGCAAGAGTGTATTTTGTGAAAGTGTGAAAGTTGTGTTGTGGCTAGAGAGAATTCTAGAAGAAATTCTCAAGTCATCAAGCAACTTCCATGCCATGAGATTTGGTCACATACATCATGAGAGAGCATCCATGGTGGAAAATAGTACAATAGTAAAAAATGCCTTCAATTAATTTCAAGGACAATACTAAGAGAATGAGGCTGGAACAAAAATGAGGAAAAACTGTAGACCACTGTGGTTTCTGACAAATACAGTCTTGAACTCATTACTTTGAAGATTGTTTCTAGCTAGAACCATTTCAGCTGCAAATGTAAAACTGTATTTGAATTAGTTCAAGGAAAAGTAGAAAAGTTATTGGCTCACTTCAGTGCAGGAAAGTAGGGTGTGTTTGGTTTTAAGTGGACTCTCAAGAGACCTCTGTATCCAGGAACTGAAAAAGTTCCTGCTTTTCTACTCCTCTATACCCTTCTTCACCCTTGTCCCTACTCTCATGTATTTACTATGATTGTTGTTTTACAGTTGGAAAATCTATGAATGTTTTATTAAATTAAGTGTGCATGTGCGCACACACAATCCTTGTCCTTAGAAATCCTACTTTTGTGAAGCTATGCTACAGAAATAAATCAGTAGATAATAAAGAATATATATATGTATATATATGCTTTAAATAGCTAATGCTCTGTAAGATAAGAGTATGTGTATGCCTAAAATCATTCCAGAAGGATAGGTATAAAACTATTAATAGAGTTACTCTGGGGAAGCAATGACTTGGTGTGGGCAAAAGGAGTACCTTCCTTTTTGTGTGCTCTATAGTTCTGCTTGAATTAATTGTATCAAACGAAAAGTATTTTTCTATCTTCTTATGTAATTTTGAATTGTATCCTTTTAAAAATGTGTAAGGAAATTTTGAAAATCCTTGTGTAACTTAAAAAGAAAAGTAGTTTAAGATTTGATTAGGATTTGAGCAGAATTTATAATTCAAAAATCTCATTGCATAAATATTTTTAGGTTAGCTTTTTTTTCCCTTCCTTTTTTGAGATAGAGTCTTGCTCTGTCACCCAGGCTGGAGTACAGTGGCACACTGTAGGATCACTGCAACCTCCATCTCCTGATTCAAGCAATACTCCTGCCTCAGCATCCCAAGTAGCTGGGATTACAGGTGTGTGCCATCGTGCCTTGCTAATTTTTGTATTTTTAGTAGAGACAGGGTTTCACCACGTTTGCCAGGCTGGTCTCAAACTCCTGACCTTGTGATCTGCCCATCTCGGCCTCTCAAAGTGCTGGGATTACAGGTGTGAGCCACTGCACACGGTCTTAGGTCAGTTTTTTTTACCAAATACATACTGTGAAAATGTTGATGTATATTAAACAGTCTCACTGGTTGTCATGGTGATGTTATCTAATTTGTTTCATATGTCTGTTTAATCACTAATGCTACAGAGACTTGTCTCTAGCTTGTTTGGCATCTAGAAAGTGATTGAAAGACACATTCATGGAGAGACAAACAAATACACGAATTAAATATGACTGTTACTCCCTATTTGCTCTTCTTTGTCATTTTTGAAGCACTAGCTGAGTCCACAACTGACAGAGACATCGATAGCTTCCAAAAGTCTACTTTAGCACATTTTTTTAAAGGGGAAGCATACCATTTGGGCATTAGATGATTTCATTTTTAGTAACAACTG